ATATATTACAATATACATATATACATGTATTCTTTCGAATCCCCACGACCGGTACTCCAGAGAGATGATGGTCCTATTCTCTCGATGGATGCAGGTCGAACTGCAGCGGCGACACCCTCCAACGCCATTGGCAAATATACAAATAATCCCTCCTGGAGCACGACAGGAGAGATTGCAAGCATGGTTCGAGCCCCCGAAATATAGAAATATAGATATTTAAAATAAAAATATAGAAATTAATATTGGGTTGTCGGAAAAATCATGACGTATTTTTTCTATGTTTTTCAAAAGTAATTTATTTATATAAAGAACAAAGATCAATCAATGATATATTGTTTTGTTTGATAATCTTTTGCCATCTTTTAGTGAGTTTCATAATTCTTCGTTCATAGAAGATCTTTATCGGCGAAAAACTGAACAAGTGGTGCAAAGGTGCTGATTTACAGCCTAATCTGAATTAATTTAATCCTAATTAAAACATTATGCCATGTAAGGAGTTTTGAAAAGAGCGGAACAAGTGGAAGTCTGACGGCGCAAGATCAGAATGAATATGATGGGTGTGGCAACACATCCCATCCCATCCAAGCTCCAATAATTTTTGACGGGTGGTCAAACTTATGTGTGGTCTCGCGTTGTCGTGATGGAAATAATTCCTTTACGATTAACGAGCTCTGGACGTTTCTGGATGATAGATTCGTTCAAACTGTTCAATTGCCGACAGTACACATTCGAATTGATTGTTTGTAGCTCGAAAAGCTACAAATTCAAAAAACACGACACCTTTAAAATCTCACCACACTGAGAGCATAACCTTCCTCTGATGAATATTTGCTTTTGATGTCGTTTGAGGCGAATCATCAGGTCGGGACCAAGACCATTTGCGCACCACGTTGTAAACAATCCACTTCTCACCAGTTAGCAGTCGCTTCAAAAAAGGATCGTTTTCCTCACGTTTAATAAACATATCGCAGATGTTTATACGCGTTGTCAAATGAACTTCTTTGAGATCATGAGGAACCCAAATATCGAGTTTGTTTACGTATCCCAGCTTCTTCAGGTAGTCATGAACGCTTGAATGATGGATGTTCAATGTTTCTGCAATCTCTCGTGTCGTGTAACGTGGGTTTGACTCGATCAATGTCTTTATTTTGTCATCATCAACCTCAATGGGCTTCCCTGACCGAAGAGCGTCATTGAGGTCAAAATCACCTGCACGGAATTTCATGAACCATCGTTGGCACTGTTCTTGTAGAGCATTGTCACCGTAAATTTTACGTAACTTTTCACAAGCTTGACGCGCGTTCTTTCCTTTACGGAAGTAAAACAGTAATATATGGCGAAAGTGCACAGTTTAGTCTTCCATCTTCAACTTGTTATAAAATTTCCAAAACTTAACCAAATCGCTCAATTTTTTTTTTTAGTAATAAAGCTAGAACTGTTCAGCTGTCAAATGACATAACAATAACATAAATACAAATAACTCTAATACTTCCAAAAATGAACTAGCGCCATCTGTTACAAAAGTGCGTCATGACTTTTGCGACAACCCAGTAAACAGAGATATACAATAAATATCTGATTATTAAGTTTATATACAATCTTCGAAATTAGATATTAAAATATGGAATTATTAAAAATTTTCAAATATTAATGAAATTGATAAATCTTCCATATTATTTTATTAAAAGATTTTTATGTTTATGAAAAAAAATATTAATTATATATATAATTATAAATATATATAATTATATATGATTTATATATGATTTAATTAATTTTATATCCATAATATATCCATGTCTAACTGAAAATAAATAAAAAAAGTTATTAATAGATTTATACTAAATATTTAATTGTTCAATTTATATATAATCTGAAAAATTAAATTTAAAAAAATACAAAATTATAAAAAGATTTCTAAATAATAAGACGTCTGATCTAATCACTGCAATCATATTGAATCATAAGTAAGAAAGACATAGAGATTTCTTGCGTGTCATTTGCAAATAAAGAGGTATTTGAATAAAATAATACTTAAGATTGCTTTAAAATACTTGTGAAAAGAGACAGAAATAGGAATGGGAGAAATTCTATTACAATTTCTCATAACGATAAAAGGATGAATTAACAAGCGCAAAAAGTGCTCACAATGAAATTTTTTATTGTATGTTTTGTTATTATGTACTAATCGTGTGCTTACACATATAACTTATCTTGTACTTATTAAATTCGTAAAAATAAACGGCAACTAAAGTTACTTTTGAATTTTATATAAAAGCATATTTTTCTCTTCTTTCAACAGCTGCTAAACAATGTGTTCTTCTGCCTGAATAGACTTCATATGCCTTTTACGGCTATTTGTTGACTGTCAGGAAGGAAAGGGATAGCAGCCGTTCATTTTCACAAGTATTTTAAAATCATCCCAAATATTGTTTTATACAAATATCTCTTTATGCAAATAACGTGCAATAAATTTTACTGTATTATATCTCGTTTATGACGTCACGATTCCAATATGATTACGACGACTAATCAAAAGTCAGGTAGTCAGGACATCTTAACATCTATTGATAGATCCAGATTTTCTTCATTTAAAAAAAAATATTTTTTTTCCCTAAATTTAATATATAATTTTCTTTCTTATTTTTTTGTAGTAATAATAAGAAATACTTTCTTATTTATATTTGGTATGCAAAACTTACCTGACTTTTTACAAGTTCATCATCAAATGACTTTCATCTCGTCAAAAAGTGAATATCTCTCTGCAAATTGTATAAAAATAATTCAAAATTACTGATTATTACACATTGTATATCATTTCGAGAAAAATATTTGCATATATTTATTCATAAAAAGGTCATTTTCATTATAAAACATTTTAATTAATTTTTAAAATTATCATTATAATATATTCAATAATATATTTATAATAGATAATTTATTTATATTCATATAAATAATCATTTGCGCGTTTGGTTAAGATCTCACTAAATCGACAAACTTAACAATTTCAGATTGTGATTGAGACTTCTATAAAAAATGTATTCATTCTGATTTCACTTCGTTTTTTTACATTCATGTAAATTAGTATTTTTATCTCAATCACGACGCAGTCTTCTTCGCTCAAATTTGTAGTTATTATATTTTCTATATTATTTTTTTATTTTAAATAATATTTTTATTGTTAATTTACTTTATATAATAATAATAATAATGTTAAGATCGAAACGTTTGTTTTTTAAGATATTTACTATTAAAAGTTATTCAAGTATGGACATCCTGCTTGACTTTTATGTTTCTTTCCTTCCAATAAATTTTTAAATTTATAAATATGATATATTTATAAATATTATATAAAAATGCAATAATTTGTAAGTATACAAATACAATACCCAAAATAATTAATAATTATTTATAAAATTTTTAAAC